AGACACTGGGCCGTGGGTGTCAGACACTGGACAGTGGGTGTGAGGCACTGGACTGTGGGTGTGTGACACTGGGCTGTGGGTGTCAGACACTGGACTGTGGGTGTGAGACTGGACAGTGGGTGACACTGGGCCGCGGGTGTGAGGCACTGGACCTCGGGTGTGAGGCAGTGGACCGTGGGTGTGAGGCACTGGAATGTGGGTGTGTGAGACTGGATCACAGGTGTCAGACAGACACTGGACCGGAGATGTGAGACACTGGACCGGGGGTGTGAGACACCACTGGACTGCGGGCGTGAGACACTGGGTTAGTCCACTGTCGAGTGCTGCTAGCAGGTGAAGCCTGGTGGGAAGAGGTGGTCACTGTGGGCGTGGCCTGGAAGGCTCCACCTCCCTCGTCCCTGGCTCTCTGCTTCCGGCTCCTATGCCTTGGACTGTTTCTCCTCTGCCACGCCGCAATCCTCTCGGGCCCTTTACCTTCTTCAGGATGTCGCCGACCAGCTTCAGGAAGATCTCGTCCACATTGAAGTTGTCCTTGGCGCTAGCTTCGCAGAATCGCATCCCGGTTACCTGCTGTGCAAACTGTGAAGACACAGACAGACACAGACACGCACTCGCCTGGGTCTCTGCGTGGGGATGATGCACGTAGACCTGTGCCTGCCCCAGGCCCTGTAGGGGTTGTGGCCCCTGGGCTTCAGCTTTTGGGGTGGGGGATCCAGGTCTGCCAAGTCCCACTGACACTCAAACACCTAGTCCACAAGGACGACAAGTTGACATCAGGACCTAAAGTCAGCGACTGGTCAAGTCTCTGAAAGAGCAACAGGGCTGAGATTTCAGATGTGAACCTTTCTTTTTCCATGACTAAGTCCTTTGCAAAAGCCAAGGAAGCTGAGAATGTATCAGAGAAAGGATGAACCACGAAAGCAGTTTTCAAATGTAAAAAAGTGTTGGTCAGTATAAATGCCAGCTTGGGTCATAACACACTTTAGATTAATGTGCTTTTCCCTTCTACTCCAAAATGAGCTTAAAGGGGCAGGAAGTTAGGAGACAGCAGAGGGGGAAGGGTGAGCCCTTCAGTGCCCTGGGGATCGGGCCTCTGCAGGGCGGGCAGGGTGCTCACCTTCTCTCCCTGCTGCCGGCTGATCTCCCGGTCCACCTCGCAGTCCAGCTTGTTTCCCACCAGGAGGAGCTCAGCGTCCTCGGAAGCGTACTGCGGGTTTGCAAAGAAAGCCAGAGTCACAGGCCGCCCCTCCCGTGCTCTGTGACACACAGGGCCACCAGCTCCCAGCGCGGCAGCACAGAGGCCAGGACTCTGTCCAGGGGAGGAGTCCAGACTGGCCGGGCCGCTTCGGCCGTGCACTGAGATCCCTACCGTTCAGGAGAGTGGAGAGAGAACGAAGTGAAGTGCATAAAACACAGCCTGCAAAAGCAAAAACAAGACCCCGTGCTTTGGAAGGACGTTTAGTGACACAGGCTGGGCCTCGTGACAGAATACTGAGCCAAGGGAGCAGGATGAAAACCTAAACCAGGGCCAAGATTTTACATGTACTTTAGTTCTTTTCTTTTTAAATTTCTTGTTTGTTAAATCAAGCTTTATTGATAAAACAGAATTCAGAATATCTTACAAGGAACAGGAGCAGGCCCAGCCAATCATGATAGAAAAAATGTGGCAGTCTCCTACTGTACATAGGAAGCTGCTGCTTATCAATTAGTAATTAAATGTAAGGACTTGTAAAAGAGGTGCAAAGAATGAAGGCATTTTAGCCCCAAGATTGCTCTTCATATGAATATACTGTATTACCTGCAATACTGTGGCAACATGGAGACAACATTCTGAAAACCGTGAAGTGAGGTGAGGTGAAGTGAATGGCTTTAGGAACCATCTGAGTCCTCTGCCAAGAACATGGAGGCATTCTCCATAACTCCTTGAATGTTCAGCTTTGTACAGTTTTGAAATTATTCTCCGTCATCAGGTGCACGTTTGAGCATATAGCTGACATGGCTGCTGCTCTCCCTGTCCCAACTCTGAGTCCAAACACAACATGACTTGAAAGGACTATACATCTGTTGCATCACACAACAAGCCAAACATTTCTTATATCTTTGATAGTGATTTTAAAGCAGTTCATAATTAAATATGAGCATTTTGTACAAGGACAATTACACTTTACAAAAAAAGATCATGCAACAAAAATTGCTGGAGTCTGATTTACAACATGAATTATGGTTTGAAATCGTGTTTACATAAGTCTCAAATTTACAAAAAAATAAAAAATCAGTTCTGGGCTAGCTATTGTACTGCTGAAATTCTCTGGTGTGATCACTCTCACCCAAGTCATGTCCCTTTCCTTAAAGTTGAGGATGGATGTTAAAAGGTTCAACAAAGTGGAGCTGTACTCTCCCTTGGAGGTGAAGTAAACTCCATGGTTAGATGGGTGGTTTCACCACATATCATCAGTTGATGTAGTCAATGCCATCATCTGTGCAAGGATTCAGTCCATTGTAAATGGCTTCAATTACATTCCGCTCGCTTGCCAATTCACCCCCTGGTGGGAGGCTGGGGATAGTCTCACTTGCTAACGTGCACATCACATGGACTAAGTCTGGGACACCTTCCCCCTGCTTCTTTATGATTTCTTCTACTCTGCATTCCAGGTACCTGTCCAACTCTGCCTCCTTCTTCACTGCTTCTGGAGATACTTTGGTGCATTAGGAAAACAGATCAAAATCACACTCATGTTGTCTCGACTTCCCTTATGGGAACAGGTGTCAACTGTTTCATTACAAACTTTCTCAAGATCATCAGTGACTTCAAGCCTGGATCTTACAAAACCACAGAGCTCCTCGTTTCCCATAACATCCCAGATACCATCACCTGCAGGAATAATGAACTGATCGACTTCTTCAGAGCTCTCAATATCATGGACTTCAGGCTCTGGTGAGACAAGCTGCTCGGCAGGACCTTTCCATGGACACATTTGTAATCAAAATCCCCAAGGCCCTGGACACAGCCAGAGAGCCATTCACATGCTGAATCATTACAGAGCCACCTGCATTCTGAATTCGGTCTTTTTCCAGCGGATTACTTGGTTGGTGATCTTGTGTGAAGAAGTGAATGTTCCTGATCCTACAAAGTAAACCTCTTGAGTCTCCAGAGTTAATGAAATGAGTGTGCTGGGGAGAAATCAAGACACCCACAGCTGTTGACCCACTTCTGCCTGCACCATGTTTCTTCTCTGGCATAACTCTCATGTGTTCATCAATCTCCAGCAAACCTGCTGATTCCATTCTTTACATTTTCCATAGCAGGTGCTCCTGAAGATCCTTTAAAATCTTGGTTACTGATGATGTGATCTAACAAATGCTCACAGCAGTATTTGGCAACCTGAGAACCAGCGTGCCCATCATACACAGCAAAGAAAGACCACGTTTCAAGTCCACTTGGCAAGCCGATCACAGCCGTGTGTGTATCTTGCATTTCCACTCGCCAACCCTGCATGCTGCTTAGCCCATATTGCAAGCCATTACCCTGCCCTTGGGCATTATGCTTTTCCATCTTTGGCTTGTCTAAAAATGCTCCCATTATGTCTTGATCCTCTAGGTCATCCTTCCTTCCTGCAAATATATAAACAACTGCTACTTTTTCTACCTAAAAGGCTATTCCCTCAGCTCTTAGTTTAGCTAATTTCTACACACTCTTCAGATCTCAACTTCAGCATCAGTTCTTCAGGACAGCCTCCTTTCTCTGAATTCCCTAGGTCAATTCCCCAGCATAAGGCATATTGTAGAACATTTGCTGGATAAGTGAACCAGAGGAGCCGTGGGCGGGCGGGTCCCTGGTCGGCTCAAGTGGTGACAGTGGCCCGGGAGGGGGCATGAAGGGGGGCACCACAGCGACAGTGGGCAGGGAGGTGGCAGGAGGAGCCGGGTTGCATCTGGGCCCCCTGTTCCTGGTGCCCTAGCAGCTCAGATCATCTGGGTGCCGGGGCGGGTGGCAGAGACGGGGACCCAGAGGAGGAGGAGGAGGAGGAGGAGGAGGAGGAGGAAGAGCTGCGGACACATCGCTTTCACATTCCACCTGCCTGGCGTCCCCCCACGCCCCTCCCCAGCCGCCTGGCCGGGCTGCAACCACTGGGCACCCAAAGCCGCCTAGCCGGCACACCACTGCCTTCTTTTCTTGACCTTCCAAATTTCTCTAATGAAGGTGCCATTAAATTTTTTTCTAGTACTGGGGATTGAATCCAGGCCCTTGCACTGAGCTACATCCCTAGCCCTTTAAAAATGTTTTATTTTCCAGGCAAGGTCTTGCTAAGTAAGCAGCCCAGATTGGCCTGAACTTGCAGCAGTTGCCCTGCCCTAGCCCCCCAGTGCACTAGGAAGACAGGCGTGCATCACTACATCCACTTGAGGTGTTGCTGATTCTATAAGGGGGTGAGTTAAACTGTTTTTATGATTTTCAGAAACATAGGTGCAACAGAATTTCTTTCTTTAAAAGGCTAACACATTGAGGGTCTCATTCCGGGCGTTTCTCAGCAGGCGCTGGGTGCCTGGAGTGCGGCCTGGGCTGGGCAGCTCAGCCCCGTGTGTGCTCAGTGAGCGTCCAGAGAGCTCTATTCAAAGACGGGCACCGTGAAGGAGGTGGCTGGGGCCACACGGGCGGGCCCGAGACCTCGGCCAGGCTCAGACTCAAGGCCCCGTGGCCCTGGGCGCTCAGGCCCGCCCCGGCTCACATTCATCACATTAGTTCTGGAAATCCTGGGCTCTGAGGCCGCCTCTGTCTTTTTCCCTCAGGTGTGCACTCTGAGGCCTCGAGCCACAGCCTTCTATGGGTGTTCCCCAGAAGAGGGGGCTACAGAGCCTCCTGGAGGCCGAGCCAGCGGGATCCCGAATGTCTGAAGCCAGCCCTGGCAACTCAGCGATAATCGCCTACCTCAAAACAGAGAATAAAGCTGGGCTGGGATGCGACTCAGGACGAAGGCCCGGGCTCAGCTGCAGCACTGGGATTCAGTAAGCCAAATGGAAAACCCATGCAAGACGAGGAGCTGCGGGAGCCCGAGACCCAGGGGTGGGCGACCGGCCCATGAAGAGGGCCGCCGGCCCGGGTGCACGGGTCTCTCGGGAGCAGGAGTCCTGGCGTCCACAGCAGCAGCCAGACCCGGGGAACCAGCATGCCTGGCTCCAAAGGCAGGGCTCAGGCACCGGACAGAAGCCCGTCCGGCTAGTTCAGTGCGGGTCTCCAGGAATGCGCTCCGCTCCGAGGGCCCGGGCCCACCCAGCCCCAGCCCAGGAGAGGGAGCGCACCTTGTCGATCATCTTCATCCACTTGGGCAAGTCGTCGAAGGTCTCCTTCTTAGTGATGTCGTACACAAGGATGATCCCCTTGGCACTTCTGTAGTAGGCTGAGGTAATGCTGTTGAATCTCTCCTGACCTGCCGTGTCCCTAGGAAACCGAGGCACAAGTCAGCGCGGGCAGCAGGGACCCTGCCACCCAGGGAGACAGCAGGGGGAGGTCGGGGACTTGGCGCATGCCAGCAAGGGCCCCGCTCACTGGCCAGCAGCAGGCCCTGGGGTGGCCTCCTGGAGTAGCCGCCAGTGCCCGGCATGCCAGGAAGGGAGGGGCGCGGACCCGGGTTTGGGAGAGCACAGTGCACAGCAGCTCCCGGCCGCCGGGCCCCACTTCAGACCACACCTTCCACTCCACCTCTGCGAGTGGCTCTGTGGCCCAAGAGGAAGGAAAGCGGCTCCCCTCTGAGCACAGGGTGAAGCCGTTTATTCTCCAACCCTCCTGGTCTCCGCCTAGGTGCTGACTCTCTGCTGTCATGCAAGGCCAAGGGCTGGCCGCTGAGATGCTGGCTCCACCCCACAGCATCCGCTGCAGTCTGCTCCGCACCAGCCCCATGAAGCCCAAACCCCCACTTCACAAGCCCAGGTCTGATTCCACCTTCCTCTTCCTGGGGAGACAGTGAATCCTCACCTCGCCCTGAGCCCCACAACCTGAGGATAGAGAGCTGATCTCTAGAAGCCTGCGGCGCACACTACCCTCCCGTCCGGTCACACAGCAGTGCCCACAGCTCCAGGCACCCCGGCCGCCTGGTCGTCCCGTGTCTGCCCCCGATGATGGAGTTAGTTGCTTCAGGCTGCCTTTGGCAGTGAAACCTCTACCCAGGCGGCAAAGGAGCCCGGGAAGATGGGCCGAGGGTGGACAGCGCCTCCGAACTCTGCATCTGCCTCGGCCTTGGCTCCCCGGTACTGACTCAGGCAGGGAGACCACCTACAGAGGAGGAAAGGGTTCATTTTCCTGACCATCGAGAAGCAAGGAACCGAAAAACATGGCAAAGACAGCCGCAGCTTCCCGTCCTTTACACTTTTAGGAATTTACAGTGAATAATTTTTTCTTATATTGGCTACAAACAAATCATCCAGAGAGAGAGAGTGTTTGCTCTAGCAGGCCCTCTGTGAACCTGACTCCGTCCCTGGTTCCCGGGAGGGAGACTGGCAGCTGTGCTGGCTGCTGCTGCCCTCATCTGGCCAGAGAACCGCGCCAACAGCTGTGACACAGAGCAACAGTGGACAAGACACGGAGTCCAGGCCAAGATCCCTAATCCAACAGTACAGGATGTGCCAACAAAAGGCGGGCGTGTGATGCACACCTCCAACACCAGCTCTTGGGGAGGCCGAGGGAAGAGGGTCTCTGCAGGTTTGAGGCCAGCCTGGGCTCCTGGGCTATACTGTAAGACCCCATCTCAAAAAGCCCATAAAACAACCTAAAACGCTGCAGAATCTGCAATGTTCTGAGCATGAAGACAATACCTCCGGTGGAAAAGTCCGTGCCCGACCTCGTGAGGGGTTGCTGCACTAACACCCCTCTCACCTGCTGCATGCGATCTCTCGGGAGAGGCAGCTCACACCGGGGATCTGATAAGCAGCGTGGCCTTCAGGAGGTGGCCAGTCCTCCTGCTGCCACCCTGAGTCCCACTGCCCCTCCCTAGATGCACGGCGAGACTGAGCATGTGGAGGGCACAGGTGCTGGAGTGGGAGGCCGGCCGTATCCGTGCTTCTGGGCACAGCCAGCTGGGCACATGGACGCACTTCTATAAACTGGGTTCCGACACCAGAGGTTTTCACATGTGTCACAGCCATCGGGCATGTCTGTCATGCACCAAAGCAAGCTTCACACACATTCTAGTACTAGCTACCTTACCCTCCTCATCGAAAAGTACCCGCAGAGCCAGGCACGGTGCCCCACACCAGTATTCCCAGTACTCTGGGAGGCTGCGGCACGAGGATCGAAAGTTTGAGCCCAGCCTGGGCAACTCAGCGAGGCCATAAAATAAAAGTAAAAAAAGGGCTGGGGAGGTGGCTCAGCGGGAAGGCCCAGGGTGCAACGCCCAGGCCCAGAGGCAGGTGCAGAGATGGAAGTATCCCAGTCCCTCCCCAGATGGTCTTTCCCTCAAAAGCCTGTGACTGGAAACCGGAAACAGCATTCTCCTGAAGTCCCTGGGACGGGCAGCCAGGGAGCCGAGCTCGCCACCTTCCCGGCGAGTGAGCGACATCTCCTTTCTGCTTCTCAGGTATCCAGACCCACCTGCTAATGTTTCACAACCAAGCCCAAGCTCAAAGTATGAAAACAGAAACACAACAAAAGGAAAGCCGGCAAGTCTCCGGCCCTCCGGCTGGGCCGGAGCAGGAGAGGGGAGGAAGGTGTTACCTCAGACTCTTCCGGCGGGGCCGCAGCAGCACGGGACAGGGACACAGATGAGGATGGAGACACGGCACTGACATTCAGTGTTAGGTGACGGTGGTGCCACAGATGGGGGCAGTTAGCGCGATGGAAGCAGACACACAGATGTGGACAGACAGGCAGAAGGTGGGCACCTGCGAGAGGGTTAGTAAGCTGAGTGTGGCCGGCCCGAGCTGCCCATCCCCTGCCCCAGAGGCGCCAGCCGCCTGCATGCTTCTGCTGCGTTCTGAGACAGGGCCTTGCCGGATCGCTGTTTCCCAGGCTGGGCTTCAACTCCTCATCCTCCCGCCTCAGCCTCCCAGCGTGCCAGGAAGCCAGGCGTGTGCCACCACACCCGGCTGCAAAGGGGCTTCTCTCCAGGCCCACCTGTGAGGGCTGGCAGCCAGCAGCGCAGGGAGCAGCTGTCAGGACAGGGTAAGCACGTGTGGGCCACCGCGGTGACCAGCTCAGCTCATGCACATGACCTGCAGACAGGCAAAGGCTCATGGCGGTCTCGGGACAGGGACGCAGCGCCGCGCACAGATGGGGTCTGCAGGAGATGCTGCCATTACGTCATTTCCACACACACCGAGCCCACCACACACACAGACACAACATACGGCCTGTGGCGGGTAGATGGCCACTTACCAGATCTGTAATCTGATCTTCTTTCCTCTTAGCTCTACAGTTTTTATTTTGAAGTCAACACCTGTAAAGAAAAGAAAACAAATAAACGTGAAGCAAAACCAGAAAGATGCATTTTGTCATGGGAATCTACTTGTACAGTTTTGAGTTGTTACTAGAAAAATAACAGAACCAGAATCACGAAACCCCAGGGACAAGGCGGGAGCGCAGGGCCGAAAGTCAGAGGCCTGGGGGTGGCGGCGCTGTGTGCCATGCATCCGCCCGGTGTCCACGTCACAGCTTACAACCCACAGCGCAGCACGAAGACCACGTACAACTCATGGTCTCACTCTGTAGCCCAGCCTGGCCTTGAACTCACTATGTAGCCCAGGCTGGCCTCACACTCATGGCGATCCTCCTGCCTCAGCCTCTCGGTGCTGGGATTACAGGTGTGTGCCACCACACTCAGCCCCAAATCACATTTCATAGTTACACTAACAAATGTTATCTTGGGAGGATTCTTACAGGGAACACTGGAAACTTTCCTTTGTCTGAATTTGGAAATCAATATATTAAATTTCCCAGAACTCACAAAAAACTTTGTAAATATAAACACAACTTAATACAGCCCACAGCAAGGGGGAGAATTAATATTAGAAAGTGTAATCTTACACTAAGCAAATTAAGATGTGTCGGGTAGATCCAACTCCCCACGAGGAATGTAACACGCAATGATGAGAACCACCCCAGGCACCCTCTGCATTCACCTGCGGAGCTCTCGACGCCCGCACCTGTGCCCGTTACCACAGACGCAGAGGGGTGCGGGCGCGGCAACACGCGCAGCTCACTGTCCCTGTTTACAGTCCCCAAGGGCTGGTGCGCTCTGGCTCCCATGCCAGCCCCGTCCCATCCCTGGTCCGCGGGTGCTCGAGAGGTCTGGGGCACCAGGGACCCAGTGGCACAGGCGCACAGGAGGGGTATGAGCTCGGCGCACACCCCTCCCCAGGCCGCTCCTGTCACTGGGCAGCACGGCAGCCCCTGGGGCCACACCAGTAACTCCTGCTTGTGTCACGGACGTCTTGCTACAGCTGCCTCATGGCTCTGGGAGGGGCGAGGCCGCAGGCTGCTGCCCTGTCCTCTCCGGGCTTCCACGCTGCACCACAGTCGCTGGGATTCCACCTGGACCGAATTCCCCTCATAATGACGGCGACAGTGGACATCTGTCACACCAAACGCAGCCATGACCCTCAGTCCGGCAAGGCGGGGCTGTCCCCGTTGTGGGGAGACACGGGCAGAGGCGGCACGACTTGAGGTGCCACAGCCCTCAGCCCAGCATGAGTTGGCGAACAGAAGCACCAAGGCTCGTGGCCATACCGCCGCCCAGAGCGAAGGCCCGACAGGAGTCAGGTGAGCAGAAAAACTGCATGGGCCATCCGGGACCCGGCCGCAGGAGAAGGCCCGTCTGTCTGTCTCTTCTTAAGGTGGGACATTTCCAAATCAGCACTGTGTTTCCTTTTGGTGGGCCACAGTCACAGCAAGGAAAACAGCAAAAGTACAGACACTTCTTTCTTCACCGGCCCTTTCCAGCAAAAGGCAAACTACCACTGGGCCCAGGCTGTGACCACCACACAGGCAGTGGGGAGGCTTGCGCCGGCCCTGGAGCCAGGCCCGACCTGTGGGCCCCTGGGAAGTCGGGGCTGTGTCAGGGTGTGAAGTGCTTTTCCTCCAAGGGTGTGTCTTCCATGAGCGCTGGCCTCGGATGTGACCTTGTGAAAGGACAAGGCTTCAGGCCTTTTCAGCAGTGCATGGTGACAGGCCAACTCAGGAACCATGTCAAGGTCGCACAGAGAGGCACTGTAACCTGGAAACAAATGGCTACTGGCAGAGGCAGAGGCAGCCCTGACCATGTCTCACCCGGCCTTTCCTACCCACGCTGCGTCCTGACGACTGTGAGACAGAAGTCAGTACCACAATCACACAATGCCAGGGCGGTCCCAGGGCCAGGGCCCACAAGCAGGAAATCCCATGGTCGCTGCACACACAGGCCACTCTCCACCGCTCCAGACTGGGCAAGTGCAGGGCCCCTCCCCAGACCCTCCCTGCCCTGACAGGAGGAGCAAGGAGACCCCTGCCCCTGGCCTGGCTGCCCCTCGGGGCACACGGGTGACAGCCCAGCCCTAAGTATGGAGTAGGAACTGGTTCTGGTGTTGGACTACTCTGGTGCTCTCCTGAGAGCAGAGTGCAGGGCTCCCTGCAGCTCATCCTCTGGTAAATCCTTCTGAGCAGGTGTGACGAGGATCCCTTTCCAGAGAACACCGCAGCAGCCAGTGAGACTGCCCCGCCAGGGTGGCACTGGCTGCTCAGCCTCCGCTGCACCTCCCCTCTATTGGGTGTGAGGACAGGGTCGAGGGAGGCAGGCAGGCAGGGCAGCAGGGCTGCTTCTGACATCTGACAATGTCAGGCACTGGGTGAGGCAGCCTGCTGCGCCCTCTGCTGCGTGTGGGGTCACAGAGGAAGGGCAAATCTAGAGGGGTCGGGGAGGAGTGGAGGACGCAGCTCCTCCGTGCACACACCGGTGTTAGCTCCCTGGCTGCTGGGCCGGGGAGGACCACACTTCGCCCAGGCGGCTGCTGACCTTCTGAGGGTCACACCTGCCCCTGCATGTGTCTCCTCAAGGACAAGGATGGGGCTTCAGTCTTTGCATTTATACTGAAAATCGGGAGCGGAGCAGGAAGGCTGTGCGGGTCATGGGTTTCTCTTTCCGGATAAAAAATTAAGAGTGTAGGCGGCGGGCATTGGCTCCTCAGCCACTCAGCAGAAGGGTGCCGCACCCCACACACGGCCGGCGCAGTGGGGCTCAGGGGAACAGCGACACCCCTCCCTCCTCCTGGGGCCTGCGCCACTCCACTCAGGTCCATCCTCTCCCGGCTCCTCCCCCAGGCTGGGGGGGGGCTGTGTGTTGCTTTGTAGACTAAGAAGAGGCTGTGTGAGCCGAGGAATACGCTGCTGGGCTCCTTCCGGGTTTTAAAGGAAAAGGGCCTTAAGAAACCATACTCACACTCAGTAAGGACACTACTTCTGGTTGGCAGTCTGGGCCTTCCATCTACTTTCAAAGCTGTATAATGGGGGCAAAAGGGAATCCTCAGTTGCTCCTCCGTTCTAGCCTTTTATTCCGTCCTCCATGACTCAGCTCCCCTCCCAACAGGGACTCACCAGGTAGGCAGACGGCAGCCGACTGGGTCGCCTATGGGGCTGGAGGGACCTCTCGGTGACAATCCGGTCAGGCTTCCTGCTCACCTCCCCTGTGTCCGCGCCAGGCCCCAGATCTGCCTGACTGCTTGGCAGGTCCCAGCCTGGACAGGAGGCAGCCACCCTGTGCCTGGCTGCAGGGGTGCCAGAGCCAGGTCTTTAACCAGATTTTCCTTTGGCCAAATGATGGACCCAACTGCATCTGCACACTTTCTCTGAGAGAGCCCAGCTCCCCAAAGGCGCTGCCCTGCCTGTGAGTTTGCCCACCGTGTCCCACGCCCTGTGTCACCAGGTGCATCACCCCTGTGGCCTGCGGCTCTCGAAATGGGAGAGTGGACGGTTCCCCTAATTCTCTCTCCAGAGATGCCTGGGTCAGGGCGTGGACAACTGCATGTAAATACAGAAGGGAAATCAAGCACACAGCTGAGAACCCTGATCCGGTGTGGATGCTCATGCTGAGCTTTTACCTCCGCATTTCCAGGATAAAGTGTGTGCGCTCAGACACCTGTGACCGGCTACTCCGGCCTCCCCTGCTGGCCCGCCTCGGCCAAGGCGCCCAGAGCACCCTCTGCTCCACACACTTGAGGGACAGCCAGCCAGCATCTGATCAGGCAGCGCCATCCGAGGCACAGCCCGCCCCGCCCCCCGCCCCGCCCCAGGCCAGGCAGGGAAGCCAAGCCACTGCTGCAAACCAGACAAACAAGGTTCACAGAGCAGAATGCCAAGAACTCTGAAATTCCCCTTCCTCCCTTCTTCATTTTAATCTTTTGTTGTTGTTATTTTCTGAGAAGTTGGTGAGAGTGAATTTTTAAAAATATCTTCATTCTTAGCAAAAGAAAGCTGGCAATCCTAGCTGGCCTCTAGCATTCTGGGCAGAAGATCTGACTGGCCAGGAACATCGAATTCTTGTCCAGACAGCCTTACACTTGCTCTTCCTGTATTTTAATATACTTGCTTTGGGGAATTTGGGGAAATTTTATAACTATGTGGCAAAGTTTATGATGCTTGAATGACAGAACAAATATACAGGCTGGAGTATTCCCTACCAGAAATGCTTGGAACCAGAAGCGTTTTGTATTTTACATTGTTTTTGACTTCTGAGTATCAGCATATACACGAAAAGACATGGGCATTTTATGCTCCGTGGTCACCTGCATTGCTGCCACTGCTGCCGCCGCCGGCACCAGTCTATCAGGGAAGGTCAGATGTGCAGCCCCACTGAGGCTTCACGCTGGAGCTCAGATTTGGGATTTTTGGATTAGGGATGCTCAAGCTGTCTAGGAACAAGTGCAATTCTTAGAAACCCCCAAAGAGAGTGACAAGTGGCTGGTGGGGCTGCCACAGGTCAGCTGATACCACAGGACAATTGGTCACCAGGGCGGACACCTGCACCCAGTTAGGAAGCGAGGAAAGGGTTCACAGTGTCTGATCCGTGGGAGCCGTAGGCCCAACAGAGGACGCTCAGCATCAGTAGAGCGAAGCTAAGGAGCCGGCAGAGGCAGAAGGAACTCAGCCCCCCCAGGGGACCATAGGAGGGAGTTCTCACCTCTCTGAGCTCCTGTCCCCATCTGGGAGCAGGGTGACTTTCAGCAGGCAGTGAGGCCCCCTGGCTGGCGCCTAGCATGTGCTCAGCAACAGCAGTGGCTGGCATTACCTGATACACACAGACAGCTAAATTACTACTCAAAGTCACCAGCAACTTCGGCAGAGCCTAAAGCAAGAGCCCAGGTTCTCATTCTTCCTGTAGTGCTTTTTAGAATGCACTGCTGTTGGAGAGGGGTACTCACAGACATACATATAATACACACAGAAGTACAGATACAGATACAGGGTTCTGGGGACTGACACCAGGGCCAGCACACTGAGCCATTACCCCAGCCTTTCACTTTTCATTTTGAGATACAGTCTCACTAAGTCACCAGGCTGGACTCAAATTTACCATCCTCCCGCCTTAGCCCCTCACAGCACCACAATTACAGGTGTGCGCCACCACACCCAGCTATAAATATATATATTTTATGTTTTTTTTTAAAGTATGCTCCTTTTTTCCTTTGGAATGCTGGGGAGCAAGCCCAGGTCCTGGTGCATGCTGGGCACTGAGCTACACCCCTAGCCCTGAAGTATATTTAAAAAAGCTAACTTACCAGTTTATGCTAAATCTAGTGGGAGTCAAACAGGAGGAAGCCAGACCAAGAATTTGGCTATGCCAGGCAAAAATGGTTTCTGTATCCCCTACCCAGGAAGTAAGGGCATGGGCATGAACCCGTTTACGTGCACCCACAGATTCCTGCGCTGTAGCAGATAATTAAGTGTACTTACGACGCTTGCATCACTACCAAAAAAAGTGGGCTGAGTATACTGTAAATTTCTAAAGCAAACTAACATTTTTCCATCTCAAACTTTAAAAATCTGCTCCTATACTTTTAAAAGAACCTGTCCAATCATGCTGGTTATATCAGACTAAGAAACTCAATTCCATGACTAAAAAATCCGTTTGAAAGACATACTTCCTTCTATGTAATTTCCATTACACAGATCATTGATTAAAATTGATCTTTCTAGTTTTTCACACCCTTGTGAATTTTGTATCTTTTAAACCAAATCAGCTTCTGATGTGCTTAACAATACAAAAACAAAGCAGCATTTTGTTGACTCATAATTTTACACACCAGTCCCTCCTCTCCAGCCCTCAGGACGTCTACTAGTTAGCTCCTGCTGCAGAAAGCCCGAGGGAGGCGCTCAGCTTAGAAAGACGCTTGGGAGACCCTCCTCCTTCCAGCTCTGGTGCTGTCCAGCTGTGCGTCAGCAGGAGACAGGCTCTGACAGGGCACCACAAGATGCTGTCTCCAAGAACTCACTGTGCAACCCGGAGATGAAACGAGAAACACTGGCCCCAGAAGGACCCAGGAGCTCACTGCCCACAGGACAGCCCACATTTAAACAGGACTGTTCCAAAGGAGCTCCAGGCTCCAGGTCCTCTTCACAACCTTCCAGAGAGGAGGCGGCTCCCCCAGCCCTCACCCCACCCCAAAGGAGGGGCGGGGCTTCCCAAACACAGCGCACATCTCTAGCGCTGCCCTCCCTCGCCCCGCCCGGCAGCCAGACACCAGAGGAGTGCAAGGGACAGGAGACTCAGGCAGGCTAGAAAGGGGCTGGTTGGACCGCTCAGTGTCTTCATGGGCTGGATCAGGCCACGGGTTATCACTTTTCTCAGAGCTTCCCATAATTAGAAACATTTATTGAGCCAAACACAACAGGCTACGTACGGAGGAAGCGGAAACGAGCAAGAGAGAAATCCAACCACATTCAGCGTGGGAGACAGGGGCTGTGTGTGCCCGTGTATTTATGTTTGATGAGGGGGCAGAGAAGCAAGCTGCCTGGGTTCCTGGCTTCTTACTCATTCTGAAGTATGCTATGCAGCCTTAAGTTAGTTCTCCGTCTCTGGCCTAATGTTTTATCAAGAGGCCTTTAGGCTCCAGGAGCCCAAGGGCAGCGTCCACGCTCCTGACCATGACAGTCAAGGTCTCCGAGCACCCACTCCCAAGCGCCCAAGCAAGCTCTCCCAGACTGCGGGTGTCCTTCCCCGACTGGCTTGGAAATCCCTTCCTCACCTCGCCCCGCCCGCGCTGGCGCTGCAGTGACCTCTACGCACCTCCGGCTCCCCTCCCCCGCCTGGGCCTGCAAGGATTCTAAAAAATGCGTAACTCGAGGGTGAAGGGTTCTTAACTCCACTGTTTTTATGTCCGATACTAAAGAAAACAACATAACCCTCATTTCCTGGCTGAATATTTTAAACAGATTCAGTTATGCTACTAAACTTAACACCGTGTCCCCACGACTAACATGGAATGGAAATAAACATTACAGGAAGTTTTCAAAAATGAAACAAAAAGACAATACAAAAATTAAAGGTTTGATTTTCCAGTAAGACGTTTGAAATGTAGTAGCGTCGTTAAATGACAATTCACCAATTCAAAATTCCTGATGGAGATTCCCTGTAAATTCTTTACGTAGATTCCCTAAATTCCCTATGGAACCACTTCATCTCAAAGTCTTAACTACCGCTGCCTACAACTTTAAATGTCAGTACGCGGGACGACACTCCAATTCGTGTCAAGTCTCCAAACTGCCCAGTGCCCCCACACACGTCTCTTCTGCTCGCCACCAAGGTGCCCGCTCTTTATCCTACAAAGCGGCTGTTTGCTATTCTACAAACCTCCTGCGGCTGCCTCTGGCGTTGGCAGCCTGGAAGGGGTTTTTAAGGAACGTGGCCCACACCCCGGGCAAACCCAGGGTCGAGCCCCGCGAGTCCGACTTCCTGAAAACATTCCCTAGCAGTTTCGAGTTTAGATCCCTAGGACGTTACCCCCGGCGCTGACTTGGCTGCATTTCGCGATCTGGGAGGCAGTGGAGGACCCGTCCCGCGTGGCCGGCGCCGGGAGGTTCGAGGTCAGGGGTCCACGTCGTGGACGGGTACAGCAGGGAACGCGAGAGCAGCTTCGGTCCGATGTCCTCCGGGGGAACCTGGGCCACCGCGTCCGTGCCTCCCGAAAGCGGGCTCGCCCCGAGCGCCCGAGCAGGGCCGGGGACCGCGCTCGCTCGGCGCAGACGGCGCAGGGCCCCGCCGGGAGCGGCCTCGCGCCCACCGAGGCGCGGATCTCGCGGCCGCCCCGCCCCGCCCCGCCGGCCGGCCGCACTCACCCACGGTGGACTTGCAGGCCTCGCAGAAGGTGTCGTCGGTAAAGCGCTCCATCAGGCTGGTCTTGCCCACGCCGCGCGAGCCGATGATGATGACCTGCAGCTTGAAGTCGGCCGGCCGCGGCGGCTGCTTCCTGCGCCGGGGCTGGGCGCCCGCGGCCCGCCTCTCCATGCGCGCGCCCGGCTCCGCGCCGCGGCTCCCGGCCCGGCCCAGTCCCCACCCGCCCGGCCCGGCTCAGCTCAGCTCGGCTCGTCCCGTCCCGTCCCGTCCGGGTCCGCGCCGCTGCCGCAAGAGGAGGCCGGGAAGCGGGTCCTGCGCAGGAGCGGCGCGGCGGGGCCGGAGCCGCGGACGGGCGCCCCCTGCCGGCCGGAGGACCGAGCGGCTCAGGCCGAGCCGGGCCGGGCTTAGGTGCGGAAGACCCGGGGCCGACTGAGTCCTCGAAGCGCCAGTGCCGCCGACGGGAGACAGCCAGCTCCGCGGCGCGCCGCGTGAGTGGGACTAAGCTCACGTTTCTCCGACGTGCTCGCTTTCCACAGGGAACCAGTGTGGGGTTTTGCTTTATTTTTTATCCAAGTGTCCTCCTCTCTCGGTGGAGCCAACCTGGGCCCCGTGTGCAGCGCAGGAACGAGGACAGAGACCCTGACCTCCTCCGGTGTCTGGAAACCGCCCTGCTGCACTGCACGGATGGAAGGTATCGGACTGACGCACGCGTGACTTTTCAGGAGCACTGCAGTTTTCCATAGCAAGACAGGTCTGCAAAGGTAATCTCTTTTTCCCCTCTCTGGGGATTGAGCCCAGGGCCTTTACACCGAGCTACATCCCCAGCCCGTCTTTATTTTTCATTCTAAGACAGGTCTTGCTAACTCACTGGGTTGCCCAGGCTGGGCTGTGCTTGTGACTCTCCTGCCTCAGCCTCCCGAGATGCTGAATGACAGGCCTGTGCCCGGTCACCCAGCTTTCCAAGGAAATTTTAAAGAATTTACTTCGGAGCGGCCTGGCTTCCAGCTTGGCCTGCCCTGACAGAGGAGCTTGTGGGGCTGAAAACCTTCTTAAACCTTCTTGTCCAAAATGCCGAATCTTCCCCAGAGTTGCTCCCCTGAAATCATGGCTCGAAGGGCGCAGCTGAAACCCTATGACCCAGTGGCCCCAGGACCCAGACCGACCCTGGTACCGCTTCCTTCCTTGGTGTGTGACGTTTTCATAGCTGCCCACGCTGCTCAAGTGGGCTGGCTCCCTGGGCCTGGTCCTAGTCCAGGCTGTGAATACGGGGTACCTCAGCACCCTGCTTTTGACAACAGCCCCTCCTTCCGCCAAGGCCCCCTTTCTTTACCACCCTCAGTGCTGTCACCGCCACCCAGGACACAATGGCCAGAGCCAGAGAGGGCTGAGGAGGACACCGGCGAGGAAACAGCGGGGCCAGTTTGCACAGGAAGGGACTCAGGGAAGGGCCCTGGGCAGGGGCGGCTAGGGATCCGAGGCAGGGGGTCCCGGCAAGCAGGGGAATTGTGCGTCACAAAGCGGGGAGTGACCACCAGGGTGCAGTGTTCCCTGACCCTCCTTTGTGTGGAAGGGGGACCTCAGCCGAGATTGTGCGGGCTCCAACAGCGCCATGTGACCTTGGTGACTGATGGGCACACTTGTGATTGTTGCATGGCTTCGAAAAATGCTTGCCTCAGAGCCGGGCGTGGTGGCACACGCCTGTAAGCCCAGCACTTGGGAGGCTGAGGCAGGAGGATCGCCATGAGTTGGAGTCCAGGCTGGGCTACACAGTGAGTTCAAGACCAGCCCTGAACTACATTGTGAGACCCTGTCTCAAAAAACGAAACAAAACAAAGTTTGACAAAACACTGAAAACATGTTGACTATCGGTTATAAAGATATAAAGGGACAGAAAAAAGTAAAATTAGTATTTATGTAGTTATTGAAATTTAAAACACCAGAAATATTGAGACTTAGGTGGGTTTTCAGGGAAAATATATATCAAGATTAATTAGAATTATGCTTGTCTTCTTGTCCTTTAACTTATGATAAGAAGTGAGTGTCCTTCTATGAATTTTTTAAAATTAAATTTACTTTAAACTGATACATAAAAACATACAAATTATACATAGTTATGCAGAACCTGTGATGTCTAAATGACTAAATCATGTTAAACATATTTCCTCATATTTATCATTTCTTTAGGGTGAAAACATTCAAAATCCTTTCCTCTAGCTTTTTGGTTTTTGTTTCTTGAGACAGAGTCTCGCTATGTAGCCCAGGCTGGCCTTGAACTCACTGTGTAGCCCAGGCTGGCCTCCAACTCTGTGATCCTCCCGCCTTGGCCTCCAGTGCTGGGATTACACACCCAGCTTCCTCCAGCTTTCTGAAATGTTTGTACACCTCGTTCCTGGTGTCACGCTCTTGTCAGGTACTATGGGAGCTGGGTGCCCCTTTCTCTGGGGCGGGTGCTGGTGCAAGGTCCCACCTGCAAGCTCCTGGTGGGGGGCAAGAAGCACCCAGCTGCTCCTCTGGGTCCAGCGTCTCACTCCTGTGCTGCCCATGGAGCCCCACCTGCGCCTGGCGGACACCCTGGGGCGAGTGCAGCTCACCTGTCCAGACCTCCACGCCTCAGTGCCCAGCCACCTGACCTGCACAGACTGTCCGGGACACGGCAGCGAGGCCGTGCCGCCGGAGAGCTTGGGCCTGGAGCAGGCCGTGAGGCTGGCACTGCGGGCAGCTGCTCCTGTGGACAGGACGTGGCCCCAGGCTCGGAACAGCTGGGCACTGGTGGTGATGAGATCGGCAGTGGCAGAGGTGTGGCCAAACGGGCCTCGAAGACAGGGCTGTGGTGTGCAGATCTCTGGTGAGGAGAGCGTCGGATTGTGCGGGCTGAGTAACGCACGCAGGGTGAAGGCAGAAGCGTCCAGGCATCAGGTCCCATGGGGACACATCAGCCCAGGGTCATGTGCCGTCTCCCCGAGGGGTCAGATGATGGTCCCCGCCCCGTATTCTCTTTCCTCACCCTGACTTCTGTTCAGCTGCCCCAGCTGCTCCGTGAACCGCTGTGCTCAAGCCCCAGGACCCGGGGTGGAGGCTGATTTTCTGAGCCAGTCCTTGGATTCTATTCTCCTTGTCAGTCAGTGGCTTAGGGAATTCACGTTGCCAAAGTCTGGTCCATGAGACATGCAGGGAATCTTTAGAAGGAGGTGGGTTTGGGTAAAATGTTGCCTATTTTTTAAAAAAAAGACCTTAGAAGAGGCAGTTCCCTTTCTGCCAGTGGACGCTGTGCGATGCTCACAGTGGCTGTCGCCCCCTTGCGACTGAGAGTGTGCGCGATGTGTTGATGAAGGGGAGAATTGTGGGATGTCATGAAGTCTCCAAATTAACCAGCCACGGAGACTTCCCACCCAGGGACGTCCTACCTGGCAGCTAACCAGGTCCCTTCCTGCTTTAGCATTTGGAGCTCAGCTTTTTCATTATTTAGAGCTGAAATAAATATTAGCAAATGTAGGAAGGCTTTCTTACAGACGAAATAACACGAGAGGTAAACTCGAGTCAGTCCTAATTAAAAAAAAAAAATACAGGGCCGGGGATGGAGCTCAGTGGCACAGCACGTGCCTGGCAAGCACAAGGTCCTGAGTTCAATCCCTGGAGCCCCAAAACAAAACAAAACAAAAACATTGGCCCTCTGTTCTCTTCACGATTCTGGTTGCAAACCAAACTGGACAAGAACTGAATCTAATTTCCCCACAAGGTCAACATTGAGCCTAATCACTGGATTTGATTCAATTCTCGTCCACTTTGGTTTGCGACCAGAATCGTGGAAGGAATCAAGTTTGTGAGCTGAGGTGCCACTGTATAATTCACAAACTGTTCACTTGAATGCTCAGTGACAACTCCTTGGTGTATGCTGTACGATACCCGTGTTCTGCTCCTACAGCTGGGACCTTCAGGTACCCGCCGGGAAGGGAGAGTGCCAGGTAGGCAGAGCCTCAGAGGAATGCAGACTCCATGGATTTTCCAACTTGGAAATCAAAGCATGCGCTCCTGGCTGTGGGCAACCAGAATAAAAAGCATCCTCTGTGACCTGGGAGTGGTTCCAGGTTTTGTGGGGGATTGAAACTTACAATTTTGGGGTTCCTCATTAAGAAAAGAAATGTCTTGGTCTTCCTGTTTGCAAAAGATCTACTTCTTGTTTCCCATTATCTATCTTTTATTTTACTCTTTCATTTACCTATACTTTGCGTTTCTCATCTAAGAGGAACCACAGGATATTTAAGCTCGTGTGCCTGATTTATTTCATAAAAGGAAGGGGAAGGGAACATATAAAGAATGAGGATGTGCCCTGTACATGGACTGACTCCCCACCATGAATATGACCATTATGCACCACAAACGTGTACCGATAAAAATGTTAAAAATTTAAAAAGTAAATTACGTTATTGAAATATAACCCACATGACACACAACTACCCTCTAGAAGTGTATGCCTGAGCGGTGTCTGGCACATTCACAGGGCTCTAAACACCACCACGCTCGGTTTTAGAACATTTTCATCTCCCACAGAAAACCGTGTCTGGTAGCATCAGCCTGCACCTCTCCCAGGCTCAGGCAGCTCCGAATCCATTTTCTGTCTTTAGATTTGTCTGTTGTAGACATTTCCTATAAATGAGGTCACAGTCTTAAAAAGAAATGTCAAAATACCGTGCAGAACTGTCCAGCACTGTGAAATAACCGAGCTGTGCCCTCTTCCTGCTAATGTCATGGCCTCCTGGGTCCGTCAGCAACACAAGAAGAGGAACCAGAGGTCTCGGTCGGTTCCTGCCAGCACAGGAAGCAACTCGGGCTTGGTCAGCCTGAGTCTTCTTCGCCCTCGGGTGCCGGGCGGCGCAGGACTGGGTGGACACTGGCCGGGGCAGCTGGGGACCCCCGACCTGCAAGCCCCCTGGCCCCGCCGTGTCCAGAGCCCCTTCTTCCACCTGGCCAGTGACACATCCCATCCTCCGGAGCTGGCCGCATGTGTCCCAGAAGCTGGCCTGGAGCTATGTCCCGAGAGCTGCCTGCTGGCGAGAATTCAGCACGAAGGTTTAGTCAAATGATAAGTAACAATTCACAAATTTCAAATAGCTAACACTCCCTGTAACCTTGCTCTTAAACATGGCATTTTAAAAAACCAGTAATTAATTGCCTGGATTATTTCTATAACTTCTTGTTACATCGATCGGACACTTCCGTCTGATGACATGACAATGATGCTGTAACGTCATCTTCATTACAGAGATCACCGATGCAGCCCATGCCTCCACGGGGATGGGGATCCTCGCTCCACAAGGGCCCAGGGATAGCACTCGCCAACCACACACTTCCTCCTGTGGACAGGAGCTCGCTCTGTGTCCATCGATGCCCCTTGCAGCCTCTTCTTCCTTCCTTTCTTCTCCCTTCCCCCCTCCCCGCCTTCTTTCCCTTCTTCCCTCCACCTGGGTCCCCTCCATTGCCCTGGGCCGACCACCCGCCTGGTCCAGGGGGGTTGCAGGGTTGACCCCCGCCCCTGATTTTCTTTGATTTCTTTCTCCTGCTTTGTAGTTTTGCTCACATAGATCTCGTTCCTATTTTGTTAGATTCACCCCTAGGTTTCCATTTAGGGGACTGGTAGGGTGCAATGATGCGAATTTTCCCATAAGAGCAACATTGTACCTAACCACTGAATTAGATTCAGTTCTCATCTGATTCGGTTTTCAACCAGAACTGTGGAAAGAATCAAGTTTGTGAACTGAGGCAC